CTGAGTCAAAATCCTATTTTCAGTTCGCATTCGGTAGACTGGGACAGCAGGTTAGATAAACCATTCAATTCAATTGTGTGTGATTAGGAAACATCTGAGGATTTCAGAAATGTATCATGTGTTGGGCTAATATGTTGGCTAGATGTCGGAATAAGTTACAGAAGAAGGAAATGCAAAAAGTGTCCCACTTTTTCTGAATTCACTCAAATACAGTACTACAAGAAAATAATGAACAGGATATAGTACTACATGAACCAGAGCTCTGCCTAACTTAAGTATAGTGTAATGTAATGTAAACTGGATCTCTTTCCTCCATTGGAAAAGCTTACAAGACTGTCCCACTTTAGCTATTCCATGCTGTTCTACTTTAGCTAGCTATGGTTGGTAAACCAGGACAACTAAAAAATTACTGAATTACAAAATTGAAACATAATATTGGCAACTTTTTTATGTGTTTTGATTGACCAGTTCATAGTATATACATTTACATCACAATTTGGCACAGTGCATTATTCATGACCGTTTTATAACCTTAACATCAAAACAGAAAAAAAGCTATGTCACTGATCTTACCGTGTGCTTCACTGGGTGAGCTTCCTGTTTGTAGCTTGCTCTGCCGCTCTCTATGATGTCACACCAATGAAGTGATGTGATTTTGATCATGTGGTTCTCTGCAAGAAATAAACTTGTCAGGATTAAGCTGTCCCAGTTTATATGATGTCCCACTCTTTCCGAATTCACCCGATAGCATTTACTTTTACTTTTTACTTTTACTCAAGTATGACAATGTAGTACTTTTCCACCACTGTACTTAGGTACATTTAAAACCAGATACTTTTAGACTTTTACTCCAAAAGTATTTTACTGGGTGACTTTCACTTTTACTTTAGTCATTTTCCTATCTTTACTTTAACTCAAGTATGACAATCGTGTACTTTTCCACCACTGGAATTAAGTAGCCTAGGTTATTCATCTTACTTAAAAGTCGGACAAATAGGGATGTTAATAAAGGCAATTTCCTCCTTTCCAATGCATAGCCGCGGGAAGTAGGCGGTGCTGAGGGAGCTGCAGCACCTTGATAAATCGAAATGATAAAATAAATATTTAAAAAATATATTTAAAACATTTTTGGGCCACCAAATTAATGCACTAGGCCAGGGTTCTTCAATTCCGGTCCTGGAGGGCCGAAACACTTCTGTTTTTTATTTCTACCTGGTAGTTAATTGCACTCACCTGGTGTCCCAGGTCTGAATTAGCCCCTGATTAGAAGGAGAGGATGAAAAACAGAGGTGTTTCGGCCCTCCAGGACCAGAATTGAAGAACCCTGCACTAGGCCTTTATTACTCCTGTGTGAGCGGAGAAAAATACTGGTCAGCAGAGCGGAGAAAAATACTCCTGCAAAAATATTATTATTCATGATTTACGTTGGGTGATTGGTTGAGCCTTCTAGGGTGTGTGACATCACACCGATGCGTTGCAGAGCCATCTGTTTAGCTTTCTGCGGGCATGAGCAGTAAGCACCGAATGACTTGGGAAACCCAGCATCAGCTTAATTAACTGGGGAATAAATGAACGCCTCACCAGCTAGCTACAAATCTATTTTAGTTTCACTGTCCGATTCATAAAACAAGTCCACTTATTGTTATTTTTACCTTTCCACAAACTGTATGTTGCTTGATATGAGCAAGTTAACCCAAATGTATCAAAGAATAGGAAATCACGATTAGTTGGCTAGTAACGTTAGTGGCTAGTGCCTGGCCACTTAACTAGCTAGCTAGCTATATTACGGTAATTTAGCTATCCTTCTAAATGTGGTGGTCAGTGGATAAACTAACTATGAGTTGAACATATTTGTCTGAAAACGAACTTGTCACCAGTTATTGTTGCCCATGGTAGAATCCTATTTAACCAGCTGGCTCCTGAAGCCTATGTCTATGTGCCCATGAGCTCCTGAGTCTAACGCAGTCTAGCTAACATTAGCTAGCTAGCGTCACTAGCTGAGCTGTTTTATAAAAAATGGCTGAGGTGACTCAAACCCTTTAGCTAGCTAACAAGCCCACCTCGGCAACAATGTTATTGGGGTGTCGGAATACTAGATATGTCTTTTAATTTTAAGATAACTGTCATTGAAGTTGGTGGTTAGCTACTACTGGTTTTAGATCCAAGACGAGAGAAATTGTCTGCCATTGTTTTGTGTTTTGGTAAGGGCTTGGAGTGATGTTAAGCACCCAAGAAGCCTCAACCAATCACCCGACACATAATAATGACTTTGCCTCCGGCTATCCTACAAAAGGAAATTTCACGTACAGTACAGAACAGTACAGTTTATTCAGTAGAGTAGAGTACAGTACAGTACAGTACAGTACAGTTGAATTCAGTAGAGTACAGTAGGGTATAGTACAGTTTAATTCAGTACAGTACAGTACAGTAGAGTTTAATTCAGTACAGTACAGTACAGTACAGTACAGCTTAGTTCAGTAGAGTAGAGTACATTAAAGTAGAGTAGGGTACGATACAGTACATTATACTGTACTATACTCTAGTGTACTGTACTGTACTGTACTGTACTGAACTATACTTTTCTTTACTTTACAGTACTCTATTGTGCTCTATTGTTTTGTACTGTACCCTACTGTACTGTAATATACTCTACTTTTCTTTACTGTACTGTAATGTACTGTACTCTGGTGTAATCTACTGTACTGTGCTGTGCTGTGCTGTCCAAACTTGTGAAACATAGATGTCTATGTTTGGGCCAAATTAAGGCCCAGACCAAATATGAACCAAACATAGACATCTATTAATGTTGAAATCAAGGCGGGTTCGGACCGCACCAATAAAATACCAAAAAAAGATGGGCGGTCTGGACAGGACCAAAGAAAGACATCCAAAATACGTCTGCGTCGCTCCGTACTTAGTGGGATAGGCCCTACAACTGTCCCCCATCATAACCCAAAATGTAAGGTTGTTTTTTCATTGTCAATTGAGTCTTTTAACAATGTAGGTTAAAAGCTATATCTTTAAAATATGTTAAAACTATCAATCTCACTATCAGTCCTTGCAATCTAGCTCTGTCTATTAATAATTTCCATCCCTCATTTTACCAAAGAAAGGGTGTTGAAATGATAAAGACTGGGCTTTTAATACCTCATCTAGGCATACAGACCTATAGCAAAATAATCATGCTTATCATATAGGTTATCATTGTTGTCTTTGCCAGAGAGCGCTGCCGAGCCTAACCAGAGAGCAATATTAACTGTTCTAGAACAACACTCCGTGGCATTTTTCGGTTATGAAAATGTGATCTTGCAACCGGGAAAGAAGCCTAGGCTATCGTCACAACTGAAGCCTTTTTTTTTAGTCCCGCCCTCCTTCTCTTGCTCTCATCGACTGTTATGTGGGCGTAGGGTTCTGTATTTCAAAAATAAGTGATGTCAAGACCAGCGTTTCCCCCCCTCTAAATATTGACTGCCAACCAATCGAATGAGTGAACTCATTCAACAAATGATGCTAAGGAGGTGTTTTATCTAGTAGGGGATTGTTATATGAAGGCTAGGCTATAGGTCGAAAATCATGTAGGCTTTTCTGTTTTATATTCCTACACGACTAGGCTACACCTACTCGGCATATGCCTATTGCAGGCTGAACTCGAAACGCTACTAAGTCCCTACTCGGCATATGCCTATTGCAGGCTGAACTTGAAACGCTACTAAGTCCCGTAAACTCCGTGGTGTCGTTGATTTAATTTATTTACCCACCTTTACAAAAGTTTAGTAGCCTAAATATTTTAAGTATAACAGATGGTCGCCTATACTGCTACAGTAATGTGCTCAGTGGAAGAAGATAACTTTGCTTATCAAATGACGAAACTTTTCCCGCGCACTGTCTGAACAAACACTTTACTATTAATGAACCAAAAGAAGGACGATATCCAGACCATGTATCATCATTTGAAAATGGGCGGGAAGTTTACATAAAAGTCTGAACAAGCATCTCTCCAAATGTCATTGGATAACCTAACGTTGTCAGAAATATTTTTTTCCAAGATCTCTTTCTCAGCCCGGACTGGTGAGAGCAAGTCGGCAATCAGACGCTACAAAGTTGCAAGCGCTTATCGAAACGGCAGCCATGGATACAGTTGCAGGACATAGGCGACGCTTTTGAGAGGAGCAGACCAGCATTTTGGGGAGTTTCAGAGGAGTTGCACCTGTAGGCTAACCTATGTCGTCAAGCCCGGAGTGAAGTAGGCTATCGAACGTCGTAGGGTATCTATGAAACAGAATAGCGTAATATGGGTTTTTACTCAAGGTCGAATTGGACATTGAATGTGAGTTGTAGCCTAATGTGTTGTAACTGTTTGGTGATATCATTTCATGTACATATCCCCCCTCCCTGTATTTAGAAGACATTATTAGGCTATAGGTTAAAATATAATGAGGGTAGGCTATGCTGCCTGCAGAGTTGGATAAAATCATCTGGAATAACACCGGTTTAGCCTATAAATAAACATGGTAAATATCCATGAACTCTATTTCAGAATCTCAAATGTTATCGACTACACGTGAACGGGGTTCAAGAATAAAGATTAAACTTCAACTCTGCAGGCTGGACGATTGGAATTAGTATTTAGTTTTTCAACTTAGTGCATCTTGGTCCACTACTGGAAATCCCAAACACCAATCCAACGTGATGAAAATATTTTTTTTTAAGGAAGGTGATGATGACCATAAACTTGAGTTGGAAATGGCGTGACATCCCTGTTGTTTTCCGTGCCGAAGCGAGTTGTTACAGTGGGATGGCATTAAAAAGGGAGGCGGACCCTGGCAGTGTAGCCTACCAATTTCTTTTAGAGGGCTACGGACTATTTACTACACTTTAGCAGTGCCTTGCGTCACAACCAAGACTTACCATCAAAATCAAGCACATACAGAGGAGGCCTATCAACGTTTTTAACCTGTATAATTTAACCTTATTCTCTTTATTGTTTTCGTCCACCAAGAATGACTGGAGAGACAAACAGACTGAGCAGTGCATCTGCAAGAGGAGACTTAGCAGAAGTTGAGATGTTATTACAGAACGGAGCAGATGTTAATGCAAACAATGAATTCGGCAGGACACCGTTACAGGTTGGTAATACATTTTCTATGAAGCCTAAATCTATAAATTCATGATTCAGTCTATTCAGAAGTTATATGATCGATTTCAACTTAAACTACAACATCTTAGCATATGTGTGCATTGACATAATGTAAAATACACTAAACGGTGTGCTTTGGTGACAAATAAAGTGGTACAATTATTAAGAGGCTATACAATTTCTGTAACTTGGACTTAATTGAAAAAATCCAAGTGATTTTCAAGGCCTTATATAGCATAGACTACTATGTTGGATGTCATATTTTTATTGTATGATTTATGGAATTAGAGGGCTTTAAAGTGACTTATAGGCCGTACTTTAGTAGCACTATCTGAACCACAAAAAACCCCAATGTAGATTAATGATTTATATATGATTTAACAGAGAAGTGAAATACAGAATACAACACTCTAATTGCAATGCAATGTTGTTGTTGTTGTTTTTAGAATATCTTCTTATTTTTTATTTTTTTTAACACATTCTGTAGGCTAAAAGTTTAGCAGCTTTATATTTCTTAATGAAGATGGTGAATCACATGGGTTCACTATGAAAACTCGTTGAATAATGTGATTACGTTTTGGTATTTTTAAAGAATAATTTGTGCCATAGATCATTGATCAATAGTGATAAAGAAGATAATATAGAAACTTCAAGACACTGCATGACCCCATGCACCACTTTGGGCCCGCATGCACACTCAAATAGGCCTATGAAAAATGTAATTGTTTTCAACAAGAATATTTCTCGAATTATAGGCCTATAGTTAAACAATTTCATCTCATGCTAAAATTATGATGGTTGATAACTTATACGGTATTGCTTTGCTTAAATTGTTACCTCCTTGACCGATACCTCTGAATAACTGCCTTGAACCACATGGGAGTCCCAAAATGCTATGTTTGCTATAGGAATGTAACTACAGTTTATTGTTTTGTCAAATTACACAATCAAACTCATATGAAAAACTAACAAATTGCAGATTGTGAAAGACTTGGTTGATTTGGACAGCCTGTTCATACGACCATGCTGCATAGATGTTCAGATAGGCTAATCTCTTACCATGTCATAGGGCATAGGGCACAGATGAAAATGCTAAAAGTGGTTCAAGTATGGTTCATTGACTGAACCATAACACACGTTTTTGAGAAATGTAGGACAAGTTGCTTTAACCTGTTGAATGTATAATTACAATTTACAAATTGGCATACTCAAATTCAAAGCGCTCAAAGCTTGACCTTTGTTAATTAAAAAAACGATAATCTAAGTAGGCCTATGACACAAAACTGTGTCATACAAAAAACTCAGTCACAAAACTGTAATAAGCTATTCGTATCACTCCTCTATTCCAAATGAAAAATATATAGGCCTATCATGAAACTTAATTATATAATGATGATCAGCTAAGGCTCTGTGATTGAATTAAGTGTATGCCTGTTTATCAGAAGGTAATTGGTCTACAGCATTTAGGTGGAAGAAGAATAAAAAAGGTTAAGATAATAGATTATATCCCAGGACTGATACATATTTTAGTGGGTTCGATTTGTTTTGGATCATTCCTTTTGAAAACATAGGTGTAAATCTAGACCTGTGTGTCTCTGCAACATAGCCCTAAATTATTTCTATTTTCTATTAAAACAGTAGCCTTTACTTCCTATAGCCTACATTTGTCTTTATATTATTATTTATGTGTAATTATCCTGCTCTATTCCTCTTCTCATTATATTTTACAGGTGATGAAACTTGGTAACCCAGCCATCGCGGAAGCGCTGCTGAGGGCGAACGCAAATCCAAACGTGCGCGACCATGTCAGGGGTCTCACTATCACTCATGATGCTGCAAGGGATGGATATGTGGACACCCTACGCGTCCTGATGGATTATGGCGCAGACGTCAACTTCCTGGACAACGACGGCAATCTTCCATTGCATCTAGCGGCAAGAGAAGGCTATCTTGATGTGGTTCAGCTCCTTGTTGGTTGTACGACGGACGCCGCAAGGCGCAACTCCAGAGGCCATACACCTTATGATTTGGCGACTATGAACCATAGAGTATCCATTGCGCAATACATTCAGGCGCACATGAATTTATGAATATACATGGGACAATCCTGACTGGGATAAAGAGGTGGAGAGAGAGGGAGAGATTAGCAAAAATGTAATCTACCTCTCCTTGGTTACAATGTGTTTGGATGTTTTCAGACATGATAGCCTCAACCCTCAACCATAAAGGATATCATGAACTCAGGGGAGTTACGTTTCCTTGTAACCTGATAAGAACACAAAATTCCATATAGGTTTTGACTTCAGTTTGCTCCATTGCGGAAAAAAATGTGACAAGATTATATGCCACTGGATCTATAACAATAATTGTAATCAATGTAACACTTTTAGGCCCACAACATTTCCCCAACAACTCAACAACATCTGGAGCTGCAACATGATGTCGAGTTTTTGGATGTTGCCTATAGTGGCATAAGCCTAATGGCTGGTGAAAATTAAGAGGAATTTGTCTTTCAAATTCAATTCAATCCGAATATTATAATAACTGAATTTGAGATGGGTTTAGTAGGCTATAACGACCATTTCAAATGAAATGAGGAACAACATTGTATCGTTTAACTTCCGTAGGCTGTAACAATTTAAATAGATGACCCTCTTCATCCATTGTACTCTTGTGCACCATAGCAAATGTCTTATTTTGTCCCATTTGTCATGGTTAATTAAACTCATGCTATTTCGAGTAAAAAGCTGTGGCCTATACCTTTCTTCTCCTTGTCCTTGCAGACCATTGGTAATAAATTACCAATCTAATGGTAGCCTGACTGATGTGGCGATTCTTTTCGATTTTATTTGCACTTTGTAAATAGGGAAACAAGTACATTTTGTAATGAACTGTGAAACCATGCGTTTGCTAATATTGACGTTTTATTTTGTACCAAAGACAGCAACCGACTACAGGTCTGCATTGTTTAACCTGTTTGTTTAATTTTCTGATTGGCGTTTTAGGTCACAATTTGTTTTAAATTGAATGTAGACGGCGTCATTTTACTATATTGTCTTCTATTTGAATATTGCTAATCGATGTTTTGCACTGTTGTCATTTGTGAGACGAATAAATTCAGTTGTCCACTGATTATTAGATTGTTGTGTTGTTGTTGTTTTTTAGCATTTGACCTTTTTTCTAGATCCCCATGCTTTTATCATAGCCTAGGCTACTCAGCACTACAGTTGTGATCAATGCACCTACTTGAATGATTGTGTAATACACTATAGCCTTTCCTTTACTCAGTCATTCGAGGAAAATATAGGCTATTCAAAGTGGACCTATATATTGGAATGAAATATCTGAGCTGGAGCGCAAATAGCCTACATAGCGTTCGAAATGAAAAATGCAGCAAAATATTGTTACTCATATCCAAACATGGGCTAGATGACATCCCCGTTACTTCTGAATTGAGTGTCTAGTAATATCAGTGTGATTATGAAATCACGTAATGTTAGTTTTGAGGTGGCTATAGAGTTTCTTTATTTTATGGGGCTATTCAAACCATTGCATGTCTGTCTATAGGCCACCCTAATTTCACATTCAAACAGATTTTGAATCAGTACATCATCTCAGCATGCCTCACTTACAATTACAGTAATACTTATAGGATAGTTCAGATGCCATTATGGCACATGTTAGATCACATTATTTGATATAACCAAGACAAATAATATCTGCATGAAATTATAGGCCACTCACCACTTGGATAGGCGATTCTTATATATATTGTTATATTGTTATTCCTTTGCAAATTGACAGTGCAATGAACATTAAAATACGAACTTCAAACAATCACACGCTTGTGCTGGCCACTTGAAGAGAAGCAAAGCAAAACCATAGGCTACAACCGTTAGGTGAGTAGGAGGAACATGTCCCTTTTAATCCCACCGTCATATTTTCGAATTTTGGCGCTTTGAATGGCAATATTATTTTTATTTGAAAAGCGAGAAAACGTGAATATTTATTAGAAAGAAAACACACTGCATAAATATCAGCGTAGTCAAACTGTGAATGGCTATGTAATAGCTACTATAAATATGTGTTTGGCTTCTTCCTGGTTGTGTGCATCTCATCGTGTTGTCGCTCAAACAAGTTTGATAATTAATGCAAGAAAAGCGAAGAGACTACTTTAATAAATCGGGATATAATCACTAAGGCACAAGTAGTCAGGTAGGTATCCGATTGAATGTAATTATCAGTGCATCTTCATGATTGTCCGATTCAGATGTAGGTTAGATTTGATATGGTTTGAAATTACAAATGTAGGAATCCTGTCCATTAAAGGATGTCAGAACGTGTATGATGGTTTATGGATTTTATATAGGCTGTTTTTCAGATACTCCTGGATTTCTGGAAATTCTGCACTGTCAAACATTTTTCCACAACTTGAGCGTGCGAGAGGGTCGGGGGAGGGGGGAGTTATGGCCCATGATGAATATTGCAATATGATACAGTATTACTGTTGAGAACTTCTGGTGCGAATTGGAAGGAAGTTAAATCTAAAAGTGATGACCCTAAACATGGTTTGAATAGAAAATACATTGATAACCCTGATTTAGACGCCACATGGGCAGATTAATAATAAATACATCCATGTTTGTTTTCCCCATATCTTTAGACATCCTCACTATGATTAATTGTTCTTATCAGTACCTTATTTTGACCATTCTCTCACTCACCCTCATACCAGTTTCACCCCTTATGTCTCATTCCATTATGGCTGTTTCATTGCCTCTGCAGCTGAGTCAGTCGATTCTATCCAAAAACAAATCAGTGGAATATTTTATTTTATTTTAAAAAACAACAACGTTTATTTAACCAGGAAAGGCACATTAAGACACACATAGTCACTTTACAAGGGAGACATTTAGTCCCAGTAAGACGTGGGCAGTCTAGCCATTATCCAGGGTTCAAGGTGACGAAAGTCAAAAGACATTTCAACTGGCACAGAATCTTTTTCACAATCGGCTAGACCCAGGGGGGGGGGGGGGGGGGGGGGGAAGAGAGAGCGAGAGAGAAAGAGTGACAATGTACGAACTCATCCTCTGTTACTGTCTGATTTCATAACAGGATTGTCTCACTAAGTTGCCCTGTGGCCCACTGCATTATGAGTTGATCAACATCTACACACCCCTAACACTGTTGGTGTAACTCCTGGTCTCTTTACACCCAGGGAAGTAGGGGACTAAAAACTATGTTGACATGAAAAGAGAATCCAGAGAGCCTTTGACCTCTGTGTCATGCCCAACTTTTGGAACATGACCTCTATCTACACTGGAATTTGAATGTGTTACCTTTCTCATTGACATGGCAAAGAGATATTTCCCTTTTTTTTTCTCGAGAAACGATTCAGAAAAATGGTGCTTGCAGCTAAAGAACGCCTAACCACAACAGGGTGTGTGTGTATATATATACAGTGGGAGAACAAGTATTTGATTCACTGCCGATTTTGCAGGTTTTCCTACTTACAAAGCATGTAGAGGTCTGTCATTTTTATCATAGGTACACTTCAACTGTGAGAGACGGAATCTAAAACAAAAATCCATAAAATCACATTGTATGATTTTTAAGTAATTAATTTGCATTTTATTGCATGACATAAGTATTTGATACATCAGAAAAGCAGAACTTAATATTTGGTACAGAAACCTTTGTTTGCAATTACAGAGATCATACGTTTCCTGTAGGTCTTGACCAGGTTTGCACACATTTCAGCAGGGATTTTGGCCCACTCCTCCATACAGACCTTCTCCAGATCCTTCAGGTTTCGGGGCTGTCGCTGGGCAATACAGACTTTCAGCTCCCTCCAAAGATTTTCTATTGGGTTCAGGTCTGGAGACTGGCTAGGCCACTCCAGGACCTTGAGATGCTTCTTACGGAGCCACTCCTTAGTTGCCCTGGCTGTGTGTTTCGGGTCATTGTCATGCTGGAAGACCCAGCCATGACCCATCTTCAATGCTCTTACTGAGGGAAGGAGGTTGTTGGCCAAGATCTCGCGATACATGGCCCCATCCATCCTCCCCTCAATACGGTGCAGTCGTCCTGTCCCCTTTGCAGAAAAGCATCCCCAAAGAATGATGTTTCCACCTCCATGCTTCACGGTTGGGATGGTGTTCTTGGGGTTGTACTCATCCTTCTTCTTCCTCCAAACACGGCGAGTGGAGTTTAGACCAAAAAGCTAATTTTTTGTCTCATCAGACCACATGACCTTCTCCCATTCCTCCTCTGGATCATCCAGATGGTCATTGGCAAACTTCAGACGGGCCTGGACATGCGCTGGCTTGAGCAGGGGGACCTTGCGTGCGCTGCAGGATTTTAATCCATGACGGCGTAGTGTGTTACTAATGGTTTCCTTTGAGACTGTGGTCCCAGCTCTCTTCAGGTCATTGACCAGGTCCTGCCGTGTAGTTCTGGGCTGATCCCTCACCTTCCTCATGATCATTGATGCCCCACGAGGTGAGATCTTGCATGGAGCCCCAGGCCGAGGGTGATTGACCGTCATCTTGAACTTCTTCCATTTTCTAATAATTGCGCCAACAGTTGTTGCCTTCTCACCAACCTGCTTGCCTATTGTCCTGTAGCCCATCCCAGCCTTGTGCAGGTCTACAATTTTATCCCTGATGTCCTTACACAGCTCTCTGGTCTTGGCCATTGTGGAGAGGTTGGAGTCTGTTTGATTGAGTGTGTGGACAGGTGTCTTTTATACAGGTAACGAGTTCAAACAGGTGCAGTTAATACAGGTAATGAGTGGAGAACAGGAGGGCTTCTTAAAGAAAAACTAACAGGTCTGTGAGAGCCGGAATTCTTACTGGTTGGTAGGTGATCAAATACTTATGTCATGCAATAAAATGCAAATTAATTACTTAAAAATCATACAATGTGATTTTCTGTATTTGTTTTAGATTCCGTCTCTCACAGTTGAAGTGTACCTATGATAAAAATTACAGACCTCTACATGCTTTGTAAGTAAGAAAACCTGCAAAATCGGCAGTGTATCAAATACTTGTTCTCCCCACTGTATATACTTCCTATTTCTTTCAGCAGTGTATTCTGGTTAGGGAGAGTGACAGGAGGGCCTTCATCAAAGGCAGCTTCCTCCCGCAGGCTTTCTCAGTGTGGAACATGGCTGCAGGGAGGATCAGTGAGCAGGTTGTGTAGAAAATATAAATCCCCACGTACACAGATGTATTATCGTTTTTCTACTAGAATACTACTTTAGGATTACTACCTGGCTCTGTCTACGTACAAAAGTGTGCTACAATTCTGAGTTGGAGACTGCACCGAATAGGTCAATGTCTTATGTGTAAAGCAATTGTGAATGTTGTTTTTCTATTCGTGTTTTTTTTTTTTAATCAGTACAAATTGTTTCTTATACTCTTGTTGGAAATATTGGTTTTGTTTTGACAATGGAGGCAAGTTTATTATTAATATCAAATCCCTCTACTGGACATATTTTCAATTACAAGTTCAAAATGTGCAACTGTTGGTAGGTTGGTTAATTCCGGAAATGTAAGGAGAACATTTTGTAGAAACAACACACATTGCTTGTGTCTCGAGGGTTTGCAAAACAGAGTACATTTGTTAGAATAGAAACTGCCTGGTTTTAGCTAAGACACCATTAAAAAAAATCACTAACAAACATGTTCCATAGCATAGTTTCTATTTATTATTTGCCTGTAGTACATATCATATGCATATTTATACATTACAAAGACAATTCTCACAGGCACCCATACAAACACACCTTACATATATCTGCTAGTCTTGCAGTGCATTCCTGTAATTTATGCTGTTGGGGGCTGTGGATAATTTGAAGTACACAATCTCATTGTTGCTTCATCTTTCAGCATTCCCACCATCTCTAGTTTCCTTAAAACTCATGGGCAGCGACCAGGCCAATCCTAAACCATGTCTGGGATCCATGTTCACTCCCCTCATCTCTTTCAGATAATCTGAGTCCCATGCCAGCCTGGGAGCTAATCAACATCCATCTCATAAGACCGAAGGCAATGGAGCTCCACACTGAATGGAGATCAAAATAAAACAAAAAGATTTAAGGAAAAATCCACACAAACACTATCTTTTGGTATTTTTTTCATTAGTCCACTGTTGATACGGTCCCAAAATGTTTTGCATGTCAGCTGTCAAGTTTTCAAGGCATAGGATTTTCAAGAAGCAAAGTGTCACCTGCCGCATCATCATGATTATGCGTTTCACATCAAATAATGATGTGGCAAGTACACTTTGCTTCTTGAAAGTCCAATATCTTGAAAACATTTTGGGACCGTATCAACAGTGGACTAATGATCACTCAAGGCATGTTTTCAACCTCCACTGAGGAAATCTAAGATCTGTATCATTATGTCACCACGTGCAAAGGGCATACCTTACAAAGGTGACTAGCCCTCTGAATGTGATTAATTCAATGTCTGGGATGAGGAGAAAACGGAGTGACAAACTACTACATTACTTCCTTTGTAATATAGATAATACACCGCTCTTCACAGAAAAAAACTTTGGACTAAGAAAATAGATCAAGATTTTATGCCTTCATAGTAATTTATGGAAAATTGGCATATTTTTCCCAACTATGAGAGAAGAGGTTTTCAATTAACAAAGTACATCTAAAATACTTTGATTAAATCATCTCCCAAAATGATCACTTAACATGAAAGATAACTTGCCCCCATTTAAAATAAAATGTAAATAAACATTTACATTTTCAACATTTACATTTAATTGGAGCCAGACAAAATACAGCAACATAACATGACCAAAACCATACCCATTATTTATTAACTATTGGTTACAGCGAACTGTGCTGATTGAATAGTTGTTAAAAGGTCCCAGCATGTTATCATAATACATTAGGTATTTTTTCTATGTTTAAGTATGAAAATCAGGAAATTCTTGGAAAAACAACATTATTTACAAGTAGGATGAGGAAACGCACGTGCTCAGACAGATGCAGACGAACACTTTGCAGCACAATATCAAAGGATTTGGGGTGGTTAGCACACTAATTTCCAAACCCCTTGCACAACATGATGGTTCATATGTTGAACTAATAAATAAACTCTAGGGCATGTAACTAAATTAATTTAAATTAACTCAATGACTCGTGTGTATGCATTATGAAACAGGGCCCTGTGTTTTGGTTAATCATGTCACATAACCTGGATTTTAACCTTTATTTAAAGCTTTTTCATCAAACTGTCCCCTTCTTTTTTATGTCAGATGGTCCAGCACCATCCTCAGACAATTGCTTTCATTTTTCATTAATTCTCATTTATGGAAAATACTTAAAATAAAAGGTTAAAATCCAGGTCATGTGACATGATTAACCAAAACACAGGGGCCTAATTATGATAAATCATATGGTCTTGGTAATATGACTAAGACACTGAATTGGGTGAATTTAATGTTGAATATCTCTGCTATGAAACGTGATGTGCAGTCTAGAAAGACTGTGCTAAACAAGAGTACTTTGATTGAAAACACCTTTTGACCAACCCCTAGCAGACCAACAAACCTCTGCATCCAATATGATCACTTTCTAACTGATCATTAGTCTAAGAAACTCACCAATTAAGGATACAGTGGCGCAGTGGTCTAAGGCACTGCATCGCAGTGCTAACTGTGCCACTAGAGATCCTGGTTCGAATCCAGGCTCTGTCGCAGCCGGCCGCGACCGGGAGACTCATGGGCGGCGCACAATTGGCCCAGCGTCGTCCAGGGTAGAGGAGGGAATGGCCGGCAGGGATGTAGCTCAGTTGTTGATAGAGCATGGCGTTTGCAACGCCAGGGTTGTGGGTTCGATTCCCACGGGGGGCCAGTATAAAAAAATATGTATTCACTAACTGTAAGTCGCTCTGGATAAGAGCGTCTGCTAAATGACTAAAATGTAAATGTAACTTCGGGAAAACAGACCTTACCATTGTGTTGAAACAATCCTGTTACGGATACTGAATATGGGAAAATTAAGTGTTTCTATTCAAACATTTTGTAAGCATATGCTGAACTCTTCCACTGAGACTAGAACATAAGTGAAAGTTCTGATTTGTGTACATGTGCATTAATAGTTTGCTCCTCTGTACTAGTAAAAGGAATCCACTGAGCCCTTAAGATGACTGGTAGAACAGAGGTTCTGACTTGAACACAATGTTAAGGAGAGAAAAGTGAGTGAATCAGCTCCTTGCAAGAGATCTTTGCATATATCTGTATTTCTAGAGAGTTTTAACGCGTTTCTTTCCTTCCCCTCCCCTCCCTTCTAGCGTGGCCGTTTACTACAACAGTGTGGTAGTGAGAGAAAGGAGAATTCTGGCTGTGGACAGAAGGTGATAGTAAGAGAGTCTTGTCTTGATCACCAGTATCCACAGTCTTCCCCCAGCCTGGGCTTTCCTGTCCAGCAGGCCTGGCCAGAAGGTAGCGGCCCCCTCTCTGTGTTAGCCATCCATGTCCTCCACAGCACCCTTCAACACCACCACACAACCCTCACCTACTCCCAGAGACTGTGGCCCTCCCCGGTGTTGGAGGTGCTGTCTGTGGGTCATGGGGATGCTGGAGGGGGCCGCATAGGTGGAATGCAGGACTAAGTCAGAACAGTGATCAGGGGTGGTAGCGGTGGCGTCGGGGGTGCTGTTGTGTCTCAGTTGGTCTCGTAGGAGGAAAGCAGCGCAGCATCCACTGGCTCCATGCAGGAGGGGCAGGTGAAGGAGCGCATCAGCCAGTCATCTATACAGTCCATGTGGTAGATGTGCATGCAGGGCAGGAACCGGATGGGGTCTCCATACACAAAGTCCATCATGCAAATCACACACCTGCACAGATGGGGAGACATTGTTTGTATCATGTGGGATTTAGAAATAAGTATCTACAGTGAGGGAAAAACGTATTTGATCCCCTGCTGATTGTGTACATTTGCCCACTGACAAAGACATGATCAGTCTATAATTTTAATGGTAGGTTTATTTGAACAGTGAGAGACAGAATAACAACAACAAAATCCAGAAAAACACATGTCAAAAATGTTATAAATTGATTTGCATTTTAATGAGGGAAATAAGTATTTGACCCCTCTGCAAAACATGACTTAGTACTTGGTGGCAAAACCCTTGTTGGCAATCACAGAGGTCAGACGTTTCTTGTAGTTGGCCACCAGGTTTGCACACATCTCAGGAGGGATTTTGTTCCACTCCTCTTTGCAGATCTTCTCCAAGTCATTAAGGTTTCGCGGATGACGTTTGGCAACTCAAACCTTCAGCTCCCTCCACAGGTTTTCTATGGGATTAAGGTCTGGAGACTGGCTAGGCCACTCCAGGACCTTAATGTGCTTCTTTTCTTGAGCCACTCCTTTGTTGCCTTGGCCGTGTGTTTTGGGTCATTGTCATGCTGGAATACCCATCCACGACCCATTTTCAATGCCCTGGCTGAGGGAAGGAGCTTCTCACCCAAGATTTGACGGTACATGGCCCCGTCCATAGTCTCTTTGATGCGGTGAAGTTGTCCTGTCCCCTTAGCAGAAAAACACCCCCAAAGCATAATGTTTCCACCTCCATGTTTGACGGTGGGGATGGGGTGTTCTTGGGGTCATAGGCAGCATTCCTCCTCCTCCAAACACGGCGAGTTGAGTTGATGCCAAAGAGCTCGATTTTGGTCTCATCTGACCACAACACTTACACCAAGTTCTCCTCTGAATCATTCAGATGTTCATTGGCAAACTTCAGACGGTCCTGTACATGTGCTTTCTTGAGCAGGGGGACCTTGCGGGCGCTGCAGGATTTCAGTCCTTCACGGTGTAGTGTGTTACCAATTGTTTTCTTGGTGACTATGGTCCCAGCTGCCTTGAGATCATTGACAAGATCCTCCTGTGTAGTTCTGGGCTGATTCCTCACCGTTCATGATCATTGCAACTCCACGAGGTGAGATCTTGCATGGAGCCCCAGGCCGAGAGAGATTGACAGTTCTTTTGTGTTTCTTCCATTTGCGAATAATCGCACCAACTGTTGTCACCTTATCACCAAGCTGCTTGGCGATGGTCTTGTAGCCCATTCCAGCCTTGTGTAGGTCTACAATCTTGTCCCTGACATCCTTGGAGAGCTATTTGATCTTGGCCATGGTGGAGAGTTTGGAATCTGATTGATTGATTGCTTCTGTGGACAGGTGTCTTTTATACAGGTAACAAACTGAGATTAGGAGCACTCCCTTTAAGAGTGTGCTCCTAATCTCAGCTCGTTACCTGTATAAAAGACACCTGGGAGCCAGAAATCTTTCTGATTGAGAGGGGGTCAAATACTTATTTCCCTCATTAAAATGCAAATCAATTTATAACATTTTTGACATGCGTTTGACATGCATTTTGTTGTTGTTATTCTGTCTCTCACTGTTCAAATAAACCTACCATTAAAATTATAGACTGATCATTTCTATGTCAGTGGGCAAACGTACAAAATCAGCAGGGGGATCAAATACTTTTTTCCCCTCACTGTACCTTCCTACCTACCTACCCATCTTATGCAGTATTTTTATTTATTACAAATTGACATTCAGCACCAGTAAGTGATCGGGCAATTCCACGGTAACGGAATTACGCTGAGACTCCGTTTTTTCACTTTAAAATGTATGCCAAACAAAAAACATTTATTTCAAAGTTTAACAAACCATACAACTCTATGCACAAGGACTACTTTTTACAAAAACAAATTCTGTGGAAGAACTGTACAGATGCCAACTTTGGTAACAGAATTACGGTAAAATCTCCCTCAGGTTTTTATTCAAAGTTTTTCCAAAAACTCTTAAATATCTGCCCCCAATTAAAGATTCAAAGACGTCTGCAGAAAGAATGGGGTGTCAGCTATGACATGACACCTTGAGTTAGAAAAAATATATTTTGGGCTTTGAACTACAGTAAGTGAAGTGGATTTACACCCTGTAACATAATTACGGTAACGTAATTATATCATGGGTCCCCATAATTATGGATATGAATGTCATTCTCCTCATGTTTCACAAGTTTGGACAACACAGTGCAGCACAGCAGAGCCCCGTTGAATACACTGCAGTACAGTACAGTACAACACAGCAGAGTAAAGTAGAGTAGGGTAGAGTAGAGTTCAGTACAGTATAGTTCAGTACATTATACTGTACTCTACAGTAGTGTGCTCTACACTACTGTGTGTAAATTGTTGAAAAATGTATCTATGCCTTCATTTCCTGAAAATATAAACTCTTACCTTTCATTTGACACCCAATTTGATATGTTCCTATTAACTTTATATGTTGGTCCTCATGGGGTCTTTTAGATGGAAATGCCCGATATGCATGTGCATACAGAGGTAACGCAGATGCCCATTTCTATTTAGTACGAGGCACATTCACCCAACACGATTACAAAATAGGTGTTTTAATGTGTTGTGTTTGAGTGCTGTTGACGGTGGTACTCACTCTCTGATTTTCTTCTCGGAGCCGTCCCTGCTAGCGTCGTACACTCCCTTGGGGAGGTGGTGTATGAGGCCGATGCGTTGGGCAATGCGGACCTGCTCCTCCTCTGTTAGCTGGCTGGCCAGGCGGGCCTGACTGGGTGTGGGGTGGTACATTGGCACATTGGGCTGCTCCTGCACGGGCACAACGACACACAGGAACATGCACTTAGAGGCCTGAGAATAGGCCTAGGTAACACAGAGGGGATTAGTGAAAACACCCATGTTGCAAAACCCTTGTTTATTGTGAATATAATGTACAATGCCATTACACTGTTTTACATTCAAACAACCAAGTTAAGTGTTATGACTGGAGTCAAGTGTATCACTGTAGTGCAACTAGAACGAGTATATCAGAGGTGGTTTGAAATGGTAGATCCAGCAGGTGGCAATCTTTCCCAACTTTCACTCCAAAAAGGGGAACATAGGTGTTTTCAGTTCAAATCGCTGTAATTGAGAAAATGCTCAATGCTAAATTAAATCTGTTACCAATGAAAGGAGTGATTGGCAAGGGCAGCATGTAAGCTATTAAGCCGTGTTCACATTGGCCGCTTGAAGTGACTCAAATCCTATTATTTTTGCATATCCGATTCCAATTTGTTATTTTTCCTGCAGTCTAAACAGCCAAAAGTACATGGAATCAGATATTTCAAGCCACATTTCAAGTCATATACAAATCTGATTCCTGGCAATGCGACTTGTGTCTGAACAGTCAAATCTGATTTATTTGCCCTCAAGTGGTTTTTAGACTGTTATTTGGCATGTCTTGTTGCTTGCTAACTACTCTGTTGACAGTTTGATAAGAACATGTGGTAGCTAACTAGCTTCTTAATTGTTTACAAACAAATTAGTGAATTTTATAGAAAACTAAACAGCTACAGCTAGCTAGTGGACAGCTGTGGCTAGCCAAAAATGACTTGTTTTGAAAGTTGGATCATCTTATCCTTTGAGGCTTTAAAAGTGTTCTTACACTATGATTTTGAACATTCAAAGAAACTGGGAAAGATCCATGGCAGGCATTGTTGTCATAACTTCTGAGTGAGCACCACCACCAAATCAGCCTACACCACTGCGCACACACCCGTCATTACTATGACAACTTACTGTAACCATGTCAGCAAATAACTGCTGTCAGAACACACACATCTGATTTGGTCACTTGTAACTTGCTGTTTGGACAGTCAGTATTCCAAAACAGATTTGAAAAACAAAACAGATTTGAGCATTAAGGCCTGCAATGTGAACAAGGCTTTAGAGCATGCAGTCAACATCTGAAGCCCATGTGAGGGTTACAACCTCTAACAGAGTCAATCAATCGTACATACACCTCTGCGTTCAAATATAGTCCCATATCTAGCCTCCCGAGTGGCGCAGCGGTCTAAGGCACTGCAGCGCAGTGCTGAGGCGCCACTACAGCCTCAGGTTCGATCCCAGGCTGTGTCACAACCGGCCGTGACCGGGAGACCCATGGGGCGGCACACAATTGGCCCAGCGTTGTCCGGGTTAGGGGAGGGTTTGGCCGGCCGGGATTTCCTTGTCTCATCGTGCTCTAGCGACTCGTGGCGGGCTGACTTTGGTCGTCAGTTGGACGGTGTTTCCTCCGACACATTGGTGTGGTTAGCTTCCGGGTTAAGCGAGCAGTGTGTCAAGAAGCAGTGCGGCTTGGCAGGGTCATGTTTCGGCGGACGCATGGCTCTCGACCTTCGCCTCTCCCGAATTTGTAGGGGAGTTGCAGCGATGAGACAAGATTGTAACTACCAATTGGGGAGAAAAAGTGGTAAAAGTACCAAAAATATAAAATATAGTCCCATATCTAACACATATGACCAAATTAATTTAGTCAGATACTACACTGTGTCAGACCAAAAAAGCCTTCATGATTTATACAGAATAGAAGCAATTCAGAACGCATATCTCATTGTCATTTCTCACTCTGTTCTGTTACACCATTGTGCTGTGGTTGGATGATGGTTGAGAAGCGAAGACGTACTTGTCAGAGGTTTTACACATGGAGTCTAAAATATGTCAGAGGTACAGTGGGGAGAACAAGTATTTGATACACTGCCGATTTTGCAGGTTTTCCTACTTACAAAGCATGTAGAGGTCTGTAATTTTTATCATAGGTACACTTCAACTGTGAGAGACGGAATCTAACAAAAATCCAGAAAATCACATTGTATGATTTTTAAGTAATTAATTTGCATTTTATTGCATGACATAAGTATTTGATCACCTACCAACCAGTAAGAATTCCGGCTCTCACAGACCTGTTAGTTTTTCTTTAAGAAGCCCTCCTGTTCTCCACTCATTACCTGTATTAACTGCACCTGTTTGAACTCGTTACCTGTATAAAAGACACCTGTCCACACACTCAATCAAACAGACTCCAACCTCTCCACAATGGCCAAGACCAGAGAGCTGTGTAAGGACATCAGGGATAAAATTGTAGACCTGCACAAGGCTGGGATGGGCTACAGGACAATAGGCAAGCAGCTTGGTGAGAAGGCAACAACTGTTGGCGCAATTATTAGAAAATGGAAGAAGTTCAAGATAACGGTCAATCACCCTCGGTCTGGGGCTCCATGCAAGATCTCACCTCGTGGGGCATCAATGATCATGAGGAAGGTGAGGGATCAGCCCAGAACTACACGGCAGGACCTGGTCAATGACCTGAAGAGAGCTGGGACCACAGTCTCAAAGAAAACCATTAGTAACACACTACGCCGCCATGGATTAAAATCCTGCAGCGCACGCAAGGTCCCCCTGCTCAAGCCAGCGCATGTCCAGGCCCGTCTGAAGTTTGCCAATGACCATCTGGATGATCCAGAGGAGGAATGGGAGAAGGTAATGTGGTCTGATGAGACAAAAATAGAGCTTTTTGGTCTAAACTCCACTCGCCGTGTTTGGAGGAAGAAGAAGGATGAGTACAACCCCAAAAACACCATCCCAACCGTGAAGCATGGAGGTGGAAACATCATTCTTTGGGGATACTTTTCTGCAAAGGGGACAGGACGACTGCACCGTATTGAGGGGAGGATGGATGGGGCCATGTATCGCGAGATCTTGGCCAACAACCTCCTTCCCTCAGTAAGAGCATTGTAGATGGGTCGTGGCTGGGTCTTCCAGCATGACAACGACCCGAAACACACAGCCAGGGCAACTAAGGAGTGGCTCCATAAGAAACATCTCAAGGTCCTGGAGTGGCCTAGCCAGTCTCCAGACCTGAACCCAATAGAAAATCTTTGGAGGGAGCTGAAAGTCCGTATTGCCCAGCGACAGCCCTGAAACCTGAAGGATCTGGAGAAGGTCTGTATGGAGGAGTGAGCCAAAATCCCTGCTGCAGTGTGTGCAAACCTGGTCAAGACCTACAGGAAACGTATGATCTCTGTAATTGCAAACAAAGGTTTCTGTACCAAATATTAAGTTCTGCTTTTTTGATGTATCAAATACTTATGTCATGCAATAAAATGCAAATTAATTACTTAAAAATCATACAATGTGATTTTCTGGATTTTTGTTTTAGATTCCGTCTCTCACAGTTGAAGTGTACCTATGATAAAAATGACAGACCTCTACATGCTTTGTAAGTAGGAAAACCTGCAAAATCGGCAGTGAATCAAATACTTGTTCTCCCCACTGTAACACCCAATACCAAGCCTCATTAGAGAACATCAATGGCTACCAAGCCTCTCCAGAGAACGTCAATGGATAGAAATGTCCAACATTTTTCTCTGTTTGAGCATTATGTGCTGGATATTAAAAAGTTGTCATGTCATGCATGACTAAACCAGCTCCACTGAGCTAGGAGTGTGTACATTTAATGATATATTTGATTGCAGACTATTTTATAAAAAGGGATAGTGCCATTTTTGGGGCAATTATGCCCTTTGTTATACTTACCAGCTAGACTTGCTAGTGTTGCTGTACACTTCCAGTCATTGCACTAACGCTAGTTAGCAACGGCTCCAGAAACTATCTTCAACCTTCTTTCAAACTGCATGCAGAGACATAATAATCAAGCCCATGAGTTCATCTGAATCTAGGTAAGCAAGAAAAAAGGGCTTAATTGCCAAAATGTCGCACTGTCCCTTTAAGGTTCATGACCCTATTTACAGTGCCTTCAGAAAGTATTTACACCCCTTGACTTTTTCCACTTTTTGTTGTCTTACAGCCTGAATTTAAAATTAAGCTGAAATGTCTTGAGTCAATAGGTATTCAACCCTTTTGTTATGGCAAGCATTAATAAGTTCAGGAGTAAAAATGTGCTTAACAAGTCACATAATAAGTTGCATGGACTCTGTGCAATAATAGTGTTTAACATGATTTTTAAATGACTACCCCATCTCTCTGTACCCCACACATACTGTACAATTATCTGTAAGGTCTCTCAGTCGAGCAGTGAATATCAAGCACAGATTCAACCACAAAGACCAGGGATGTTTTCCAATGGTTCGCAAAGAAGGGCAATGGTTCACAAAGAAGGGCACCTATCGTTAGATGGGTAAAAAAAAAAAGCAGACATTGAATATCCCTTTGAGCATGGTGAAGTTACTAATTACTCTTTGGATGGTGTATTAATACACCCAGTCACTACAAAGATACAGCCGCCCTTCCTAACTCAGTTGCCGGAGAGGAAGGAAACCGCTCAGGGATTTCACCATGAGGCCAATGGTGACTTTAAAACAGTTGCAGAGTTTAATGGCTGTGATAGGAGATAACTGAGGATGGATCAACAACATTGTAGTTACTCCACATTACTAACCTAAATGACAGACTGAAAAGAAGGAAGCCTGTACAGAATAAAAACATTCCAAAACATGCATCCTGTTTGCATTTAGGCACTAAAGTAATACTTAACACAATTGTGGCAAAGAAATTAACTTATTGTCTTGAATACAAAGTGTTATGTTAGTGGCAAATCCAACACAACACATGACTGCATCATGTTATGGGTATGCTTGTCATCGGCAAGGACAAGGGAGTTAAGGATAAAAAGAAACGGAATAGAGCTAAGCACAAGCAAAATCCTTGAGGAAAACTGCTGCTTTCCAACAGACACTGGGAGACAAATTTGGAAGAGATTATATCAATTACCAAATAACATTCCATTTATACTGAACAAAAATATAAACGCAACATGTAAAGTGTTGGCCCCATGATTTCAT